CCTGTAACTACAACAACAACATAACCAGTGTTGCTCCTGTAAAATAAATGATATATATGCAAGTGTTTTCATGTTCTGCAGGGTGTAAAATCTAGTCAAAGTTCTTTTCGCGTTCGCTTAACATACTCACATTCTGATGCATTAACAAGGGATGATGTTCAGGAAAGGGCTGGAGGAAATAAGAGGAGGAAAACAGGCATGTTATCTTGTCAAATTTCTCCTTTTCCTATTTGAGAGATTTAAGTTTCTGTACTTATTACCTTACCTGCTGTCTTCTCATTACTGTGTCTCACGAATTGAGACACTACCCGAACGGTGATAGTTGTCTTGTGGGCAGGTAGGGATAGATAAACATGCATTCTTCATTTTTCTTTGTTTTGACGAACAATGTGTAGTTTCCATGTTTTCCTCTTGTTAATGAACTTCTGATGTTTTGACCGTTTACTATTTGAAATTTTCGCTAAAAAATCTCCTGTTGAGGTTCTTCCAATTCTTTCCCTTGCATATGTTTAGTACCTCCAGCGGTGTCATCCTTTCATATTCATACTTTTATTTCATATGCTGTTAAGTGGAGACAGGTTAGAAAGATCATCGATATGTTCCAACTTCCAAGATTGTGTATTTTAGTTAAATTGTCATTTAAGGATCTTGCTCGATTCGCTATTAGGCGATGTATGACTCGAGTATCAATTTCAAAGGAAGTACCTTTAAAACAAAAGGAAAATAGAATCACATGAATTGTGGTTTCTATGCTCCTGCATTTGCTTGTTGGATCAAATAGCTAAGTGGAAGAAGTATTCGCTCAGTAATTTTCATTATTTGATGACCTGCGTGAAGTCGCTAACACAAATTCCACTCTGTGCTCCATAATATTGTTGGATCAAATGTCTTCTCGCAGTTAATTTGGGAGCAATAGAAAGTGAAAATGTTGGTTTATGTTTAGTTAACAATGGCATATTGAAAATGTTGGTTTATGTTTAGTCAACAATGGCATGCCAATTGGAAGAGTTGGTGGAAAGAGTTGGTGTGGATGCTAGGAGGAAGCTTCCTCCTTTGATGTCACCCATGACATCAAGAGGAGGTCCTTTGATGTCACCAATGACATCAAGAGGAGGTCTTTACCTCTATAAATAGATGCACTCCTTCACTTGTAGAAATCATCCCAAAATAATACAATACATTGTAGTGAGTAGAGAGTTAAGAGAGAAATTCTCTTAAGTGTAATTGGGAAATCTCCCCTTCCTTTGTTAATATTAAAAGGACAATTGTTCTCTGGTGGACGTAGGATTATTTTGATCCGAACCACGTTAAATCTTGTGTTCTTTCTTTTACGTTTCCGCTAACAGAAAGTATAACTGATTGTTGACAGACAAAGCAGGTTTCACTGGTGACCTCAAGACAACTAAGGAATCTGTTACTCCCCATGTTGAGTCTTTTGATAATCATATTGGTGATGGAGATGGACTGATGAAACTTTGTCCCAAGGACTCCCAAGATCTCAGTTGTAGTTACTTAATGGCTCAGTTAAATAAGGTACTGTGTCCAGTTATATTCAGTTGGTTGGTACTTGGACTTTCATTTATTTTTCTGCACTCCATATTAATGCAGCTACTGTCTAAACAATATAACTTTTCACGCCATTTGAAGTATATTCGATGTGCATGTTTTTCTATTATTTATATAGTGGGAATTTTCTGCATTTACAGGTCAGTAAGCCATGTTGTCTGACCATTCATTGCTGTAGAAGCCCTATATTTATTGGAGGAAGATATCTCAAGGTATAAATTCGACCTGAAAAGCGTGTTATAAATAAACTCATCTGCAGGAACCCATGAATAAGCACCAATGTTTGTTTGTCATCATTGAATTCTGAGTTCCGCATCCAATTTAGGTTTTTGACTCCCAAAACGTTATTGCCAATGCTTATGCTGCATTTTGTTCTCCAAAAAGCAGGAAGAAGACTTGATCGAGAAGGATGCAAAATGTTGTGGAGAAGTTAAATCATTCTTTGTGAAGGATTGTTATAGGATGAATGTAGATTTAGGATAAGTGTTTGAGAAAATTTTACTGTCAGTAAAACCCTATATCCTTTGACTATTAACTACAATTAATTTTTGTAGGCTAAACATTGTAAACCAATAGTTTGCTCGTGTACCAACACTTAGAGCACTGAGTAGAGTAGCTCCAGACTTTTAAAACCCTTGGAAATCGGGTGGCTTTGACACTATATAAAAGAATGTAAGCATCCAACCCAAAACCTGAGATAAATAGAGTGATGCAAAACATTTATTTTCCCTTTATATGCCATTATATAACATATCAGGCTACAAATATTTATGGGTCTGTCAGAATCTAACTTATCAGGCTACCATTAGAGATCTAGGTTATAATTAGTCACCTTAGCTCATTTTATATCTGTTCCTGAGAAGGCTTATTTCTATACTTATGAATTCGGCTTCTTGCCCGTTATCATCAAAATTTATCTTTGATCAATGCTTCTTAGTTCCATAGTCCATTTTAAAAGCTGCCTTGACGGAATATTGTCCAACTGAGAATGTACCTTTACTGCAGTATTCAAGAAATGTCAGCCAGACGCGCTGGGTTATCGATGATGAAAGAATGGGAGAAGCATCTGTTGAGGTATATCACCCTATTTCATAGTTGTAATTTCTATTGTTTGAAGTTACTGTGATTCTGTGAATAAATGGTTATGTATGTTAACCCTTCTTTGAATGTTCTCTTAGGAAATAGTAGGCGGGGCCATCCTTCCTATCTTCCAGGGCGACAATTATAAGTTTCATGCTGCCGGTAGGGAGGACATTGATGTAAGAAAGATCTGATTTCTGACAGACCCATAAATATTGGATGATTGTTGATCCTCTAGTCTCAACACTACCTTTCTCAGGTCCGGATGCTGGGTACAGGCCGTCCTTTTCTGGTGGAGATACAAAATGCACGCCAAGTCCCTTCTGAAGTGCTCATAAAAGAGATAGAGAGGAAAATTAATAGTGTAGAAAGTCGATTGGTGAGTTAGTTAATACTTCTAAGCCGTCTTTGATAACTTAAATGGGTGTGGAGCACATAGCACTTCGTCATTTGCCAATACATATATAAGACAGTCTTTACATATGTTGCACGTAGGTCAGAGTTAAAAATCTTAGAGCTGTAGGTAGTCAAGGGTGGGACCTCATGCGTGAAGGAGAGGCGGAAAAGCAGGTAAGTTTCTGATTATTTAAGCTAGTACTAGTTGTATTTACCAGCAGCTCTCTGCTGAATAACTTATTTATCTCCCATCCCATTTTTTCCTAAGGTCTTTTTTTCCATCCAATACAGAAGCAGTACACTGCATTGGTTTGGATTTCTCGTCCTGTCAGCGACGAAGATTTGCAAACAATATCATCACTAAAGGAGTTGGTGAGTGGTTCTCTATTTGCATTAATGGAAAGAAGAAAAAATCCTAATTGTTTGTGAAATTTAAGATAAACGTTTCAGCAATATGTTGTCTTCTAAAAAAGGAGTTATCAGGAATATATTGAAATAAACAACTAAGACCAAGATTACCTTTGGCGTATGATATTGGAAACAAAGTGTGCATTCGTTTTGCTTTTTGGGAAAACACATTTTATATTCTCATAGAGCACTAGCTTTTATTAACTGTTGGAGCACCCGGCATGATTGTTCATGTATCATACATTCATACCCTCTCCTTTTCAAAACTTGGGTAGCATCAAATTTGATTTGAGTGTAATTTGTTAAGGGCTGATCATCCACCTTCTTATCTGATTATTTGTTTCATTCTCTCTCCTTTTTTTCTCGGGGCTTCAGAAAGTCGCTCAAAGAACACCTATAAGGGTTCTCCATCGCCGAAGTCCATTGGAGAGGGAGAAAATTATACATTGGTATGAACGATTTCTAGCAACCGACTTTACAGCTATAGGCTTTACTTGTATATCAATCCCTGACTAGTGTTGTTTCTTGTGTCAGGATGAAAGTGGAGAGGATCTCTGGAAGCTCACAATATCTTCTACTGCATCTGTGTACTCAGGTAAGCTAATCACTACCTATCTCAAATTTCTTTAGTTGTCAAATTGTTTTTCTTTTTTTATTGGAAAGAAAATGCATAATAGTATGTCAAGTTATGAAAGAAAGATGTCACACAAAGAGAAGGAAATTGTCACGGCCCCCATTTCAAATTGTAACTATTATTTCACTTTGTAAAATAGTCTAGACCATTTAAGATAATGTAAATTGGTCCCCTATTGTTGGCCTTAAATTTTAAGTTGTATAAATTTGGAGTCAGGTATAAAAGTGGCCTTAGTGTTTTTTGTTTTTGAAAAGTTTAGGAGTATTGAAATTATTTGATCTCCGAGAAGAGTAAGCATGATGTTCAATCTGAAATAGAAGTGAATGTTAGTATTTTCCAAAATAAGGCATATATGCAAATACTTCTGTCTTTACAATTGACAAGGCTCTCTCTCTCTCTCTGTACATATATGTGTGTGTATGTATATACTTGTTTATGTCTCCTTTGACCTTCAAACTTGGATTGTTCCAAGGCTTGAGGTTCCTTAACCTCTTGTGACTCTTTTTACGGTGTCATTTCTGTAATGAATGATGTGCCTAAGGGCTAAAGAGTTCTTTCAAAATTGTTGTATAAAAGCATAATGCAGTGGTAGCTGTCTTTTACAGGCTGGGACATATATCAAGGAATTTGTTCATGGGGATTTTGGTCGCACCCAGCCCAGGTATAAAGTGGTTATTCATGTCTTATCCATTTAGTTTAATGTTGTGCTTTTCCCTTTACCATTATATGGTTGCTATTAGCCGTCTTGCTTTATTCTCATCGTTAAATGCTTCCCCAGAAATAATGTACTGTGAGGGCCGACAGTGTGACCATAGAGAGGATTATGATCTGCTGAAATTATAATGAGGAAATTATCAGGGATACCAAATGTGCAGACTCATTTAGCAAGTATTAGGCACTCTTTCTGCATTGGTAGTACGATCAAACTCAATATTTTTTTTAATAGGTTCAAACTCAATAATATTTTTACTACACACACTTAATAAAAAAAAGGGTTAGGTTACTACATATAAAACCGAAACTCACTCTCCTTCGATGGAGGATGAGTTCCTGGAAAATTGAGCCAAACCATTGGGCAAATATATCCTTCCACTACCCGATAATGAGTTAACCATGTCTGTTTGATAGGGGTTGCATAAATGGACCGTGGCAGCTCAGTAGAAGCTGGAATAGTTCACCATTTAGCTATAATCTTCTACTTTATGGGCAACATTTATAGTTAGTTACAAAGTTGTGGATAAATCACTGCAAGGCCAACTCCAGAAACTTTTAAATTCATGGTCTATAGCTGATATTTGAATTGTTATACGGATTTGGATGAGGAGCCTGGTGCTGTTTGTGTCAACAATAAGAGATTTAATTCAGCCCGAGACATATTGTATTGTGCTCTGTTGATCTAATTATCAGCTCTTCAACCATAAATTTACAAATCTTTTTGTGTGCTGCAGTGTTGGTTCAATTCTTGGTTGCAGAACAGAGATATTGCAACTCGATGTTACAGACGTGAAAATGGACTGCTTTCAGGCAGAATGAGAGGACTATAATTCTAGTGGATCCAGGGACTTTCATTTGAACATGATTTTACAACCTCCTTTGGTGCAACCTGTTGTATGCGTCATAGGATGAAATTTTGGGACTGAGACCTTGCTGTTATTGTTTATTGAAACTTTTATTTATTTCCGAGAACTCTGTTTTTGTGAGCAGATTCTTTTATTTGGAAATGAAGTACCAACTGTGAGGACCGCAAAACGCGACTAGCTCGTTCTTCCACCATTTTCCTTATGATGGCTTACACCAAGATCATCTACTCAAACCAAGAAGCACCTAACTCCTTAGCCATGAATGCATACCTGTCTGCAGCTTCATCAATCTGCATTGCAGGTACTGGAGTTTAATCATCTGAACCAAATGCAAAAGAAACGATTACTGGTCAGAAGCTTACAAGTTTTTGTGTTGGACGTCCACATCCATGACCAGCCTTGCGTTCGATTCTACCGATGATGGGGTTGGTCTGTGGACTTTTCGCCACGCTAGTGCACAGGACATATTGCATAGTCTGAAGAACATATCACAATAAATTTAAGTTAGATACACTGACAGTGTAAGATATTTGATATGATCGGTGTAATTTAGTTTGTCATAACATGTCACTAACCATTCAATTTAGACTATCAATCTATGCTTATTAAATAGAGTTATCTAAAGTTGCCTCTTAAATGACCTGACAGCATAATACTTTTTTACAAAATCATGCTTAAAACTTAAACTCCATTGGAATTAGCAGAAGGCTTCAACTACAATAACAACAAACCCAGTGAAATTCACAAGTGGGGTCCGGGGAGGGTAATGCATACGCAGACCTTACCCCTATCTTATGGAGGTAGAGAGGCTGTTTCTGAAAGACCGTCAATTCAAGAACAGGTAATAAGACAATGGAAGCAAATGAAAAAACGAGTAATAACATAGATCTAGGGATACGTTCATTTAAAGAAAATGATTTGGGTAACTAGTAACTTACAGCCAACAGTTTCAACGAGTGCAATGGAACCACTCGATCATCATGATCTGCTGTCAATAACATGATTGAAGGATACTGATATGCTTTAATAGCAAATTGTTCCCATGGCCTCCTCACATTATGCAGTGGTGAATACCTAAAGATAAAATTTGTAAATAATATCATCAGTAAATTCAATGTCCCAAGTTACATTAAAATGCATAAATAAACAGAGCAATTAGTTGTGGTTATCATTTAAGTGATGATAGTGTAAAAGAATGGAAGTTAAACTCTTTTTAATAAGAGTTCAAGAACTCACTTGATTAGCCATTGAAACTCTTCCTCCTTATCTGAACAGCCAAAATCAGAAGTCCATGCATGGCCTAATGAGAAATAGAAAATAAATCGTAAAACACAGAATTAAACAACAACTAAAATAACAAAATAACTGTATAAAAAAATACTCACCTATAGTGAACTTGTGAAATCTAAGCATATCCATAACACCAACATGAGCAAGAGCACATCCAAATAGATCAGGTCTCTGCATTTATGAAGCTCCCACGGTTAACACTAAAGGGCGGCCGGTGCACTAAGCTCCCGCTATGCGCGGGGTCCAGGGAAGGGCCGGACCACAAGGGTCTATTGTAAGCAGCCTTACCCTGCATTTCTGCAAGAGACTGTTTCCACGGCTCGAACCCGTGACCTCCTGGTCACATGGCAACAGCTTTACCAGTTACGCCAAGACTCCCCTTCTCCCACGGTTAACACTACTAGAGTAAAAGTTTTTTATGCTACCAGGTCATTTAAAAGGTAATTACAGATAACACGAGCAATAATGCAAATAAACTTCTGTAATTGGTAGAGGTTGAATTTGCGCTGATAGTGTAAAAATTTCATTATACTGCTAGTATATATAAGTTAAGTACCTGATTGACGCAGGCTCCAACAAGAAGGCCACCATTACTTCCACCTTCAATACATAATTTATGGGGTTGTGTATAACCAGAAGTTACAAGATATTCAGCAGCAGAAATAAAATCATCAAAGCAATTTTGCTTTCTGGAAAGAGCACCAGCTTTATACCATTCTTCTCCATATTCTCCACCACCACGAATATTTGCTATGCAAAAAACTACACCTAAATGCTTTGCGAGCACAACTCGAGCAGCAGAAAAAGATGGTGTAAGACTAACATTGAATCCTCCATATCCGAATAATAAACAAGGGTTGGATCCATCCAAAGAAATGTTCTTTCTAGAAACTATGAACATAGGTATCTTGACACCATCTTTACTAGGCACAAATACCTGCAAATAGTCACAAGAATAGTTGGTCAATAGAAGTATAGATGATCCATACTAATCAAAATCATGACGGAAAATACAAGTTTCAGGGTGTCTTTCGGGTAAAAAAGGCCAGCCCGGTGCACAAAGCATCCCGCATTCACGCAAGGTCCGGGAAGGGCTGCATGGCCGCGCCCCTAGGGGTGTGATGTAGACAACCTACCCTGTTGAAAGCTAGATCCACATGAGGTGTGTAATGCATAGCTAAAAAAACGCCCGTCACTATCTGAATGACTAAACAAATACCAGCTAACGAACCGAACCCCCACCAATAACTAAGATTGCTCGGGGTTGGATAATCTATCAAATGCTGATTAAGTGTGGAGGATATAGGTTGTTTAACAAGCATTAGTGTCTACTTCAGGGTGTCTTTGGTATGACGGAAAATAAATAAGTCCTTTTATGGTGCTTGGTCGTTAAAAATTATTTTCCAGAGAAAACATTTTCCACGAAAAGGAGGAAAATGACTTCCGTCACACCCTAAAATAATGCACAAGCAAATGCAACATATTTAAGTATAGATTTCAATACTCCAGTATGGTTTTAAAATTTGGTAATAAAATGTAGGGTGATATATGGTAACAAGAAGTCTTGGACATGATGAGAAATTATAGGGGAAAATGGCTATAGTGCAAGTTCAAGCATAGTGAAAAAAAACTTCATTTACCTGATTAACTTGGAATTCTGTCCGATCAAAGCCAGGGACAACGATTTCTCGAAATACTTTAAGATCAGGAACTTCACCCTTGAGGTTACACTCATATATTAATCCAGGGATCAAGAAGTTCATAAATCCAATAAAAACAGAATTATCTTTGCGACGAGCTGAAACTCCTGATACTCTGCCAATATCAATAGGTAAATGATGAAGCAAGACTCCTGTTTCTAAATCTCTTAACTGCAACACATTTTTCACATCTCGCAAATAACTCACAATAAGTTGATTTCCATTAACAGCAACAGCTGATTGAAGCACATCCTTTTCATCCTCGTCGATAATATCAAACCAAAAATCAGGCTTTTGTACATCCACTCTGACTAATTTGTACTTGGGAGCATTTTTATTAGTTAGAAAAGTGAAAATGGAGTTGTTATGTGCAACATAATCGTAAGATGCATCAAAATGGTCGACAAGCTTGTTAAAAGGAAGCGCGTCGCTTCTTCCTTTATAACCTTCAATTCCATTAGGCAGTGTAGATAAGTCACAGTAATGTAATTTGTTGACAGTATCACAGTTCCGAAAAGTATATAGGAGAACATACTGCAAAAGAAAACAGAAAATCTAATTTAAGCAAAAAGGAATATTAATCAAATCATAATCTAAGTTCTTCTTATTGTTATTGTTTTGACCCTTTTTTCAGTGTTCAGGTTCCTTTATTGTAGGGTTGCTCCTAACTTTAGGGTTAGTTTTAGATTTGAATAAATTCTCCTTAATCAAAGGAGTAGTCTCGGAAAGTTTGTTTCACTTGACTTGTATTTAAATGATGCTTCTGATTCAATGAAAATTATCTGATTCAATGAAAATTATCTGATTCATTCACCATATATATATTTTCGACTCTTTTTATGGCAGCAAAGAACCTATTTCAAGTCCCGGAACAACAATTCGAACCCGATATCATCAAAGTCAACCCTCGGTAAAACTTCACAACTTCCGATTAAACTCAATGAAAGTCACAACTTCCATAGGAAAAACACAATTGTCCATGCTCATGCGTGGCAACGACCTCTAAGGTCATCTAAATGGATCTATTCTGCTCCTTCTCGCACCTATATCCAGAAATAACTCCGCAGTCAATTCTAATTGACTGCGGAGTTATTGCCGAACGGAGTGTTGCGAGCAGGAGTATACATGTCCATTCAGATGACCATAGAGATCGTGGCTATGCATGAGCATGGAGAATTGTGCCTTTCCAGGTGGTGAAGATGTGACTTCTATGTGTTTAATTGGAAGTTGTGACACTGGTTAAACTAGACTAATGCTATTTTGCTGGTCACACGCCATACAGTCAGAGGTGGATCCGCGATTTAAATTATATTTGTTCATCCGCGATTTTAGTATTGAACCTATTATAGCTTAAAAGTTATGGGTTTATATCTCCTGTTTATTACAATTTTAATAATTTTTTATACATAAATTCATAATCCGCGTCGAAAGTACTGGATTCAGACGAAGCTACATTTGCCCTAGCACACAATCATGCAACAATTAGGTTTAGGGTAGATCTAGAATTAGCAAGTAATTACCTTTCCATCTTCAGTAACTGAAGCCATATGTCTATGCTTTGGATTTTCTGTATCTTTCCAACACAAAATATCATTAGATTGATCAGTGCCCAAGAAATGATAATACACTTGGTGGTGCAAGTTTACATTTGTCTCTCTCCCTGCGTCCAAATTTTCTCCGTTCCTAATAAGAAAGAATCTTCAGACTTTAGAATTAATCTCATAAAATAGTGGAAACCTCTATTTTGATCATTTCCTAACGTACATAATTTACAATTTTTGATTAAACATGTTATTTTTTTTTACACTATCAGGTCATTTAAAAAGTAGAAAATCGACGGTAACTAACCGTAACAACAACAACAAACCTAGTGTAATCCTACATAATGGGTCTGGGGTATCCAGACTAGGGAGGGTAGTGTGTACTCAAACCTTACCCCCATCTCGTGGAGATAGAGAAGCTGTTTCCAATCCCTATCTCGTGGAGATAGAGAAGTTGTTTCCAATAGGCCATCGGCTCAGTGAAGCATAAGAACAACAGTAATAAAAAGAAAACAGACAGACACAACAATGAGGAGCCATAGAAAAGAAGCATTGAAAACAACAACACAGTAAGATGACCAAAATGAAAGCAACAACATGCAATAATAGAAATCTAAAACTAAAAACAATACAAGAGTACGTACTAATGCTACTAGCTAGTAAGTAGAATAATTACAAATTTAAATCAAATGCAATTGACTAATTTCTATAGTAGATTAAATTATATAAATAATGTAAAATTTTTATTATACTGATACAAGTTAAATCCTTAAAAAAAATACAACTTTTATTTAAATACTCACTTGGGAGCTGGATAACGGCTGTAGAAAAATCCTTTACTATCTCGAGTCCAGCTGACTTTTGAGAACTTAACCTGTGAGGAAGCAAATACATGATACAAAATGACTAAATATATACATTTGTAAGCATATATAATAAAATAATATTTCAACATATATATTGAAATAATTAATTTATTTTTTCATGAACTTACCCAAGAAATTGTATCAGGCTCGTCACACTTATCCTGCACCCTCATAACTTTAATTATCACCCAATCACTACCACTTGAACTGATACCATATGCCAAATACTTAGCATCCTCACTAATTGCACATATACTTAATGCAACTGTGCCATCCTCACTAAATGTGTTTGGATCAAGCAATACCTCTGGTTTTCCATCCAAATTATCCTAAAATCACCAATAATATGCGCGATAATATTAGAGGCGGAGCCATAATCTCAAGATGATAAATTTAATTTATAGGTTCTGGATTTTAGAACGATGACTTCGAGTGCTTATAACTGGATTTTAAGTTTAATATTTGTATATATATAAGTCAAACCTAACAGCCTCGTTTGTTTCGAAATTTTTTGGCTGCTATAGAAAAATGCTGTTATATAGGAGATATATTTATAACATACTGTAATATTCGGTTCCGAAAAAACTCGGCTTTGAATGACTATTATATAGGTATGTTGTTACAGAGAGGTCTGACTGTGTTTGTGAGTGTGTATATATATTAATGAATTTCTTACCATAAATATACTGTTTGAGCAAATGTTACTGAATTCAGCTGAACCCGTAGTTGGGCCTCTAGCTCCGTCCCTGGCTAACAATATTGTAAAATAATTTTACATTAACATATTTTAATATGTTTTATTTGGGTAACCTACTTTATTTTTCAGGTTATGAAAATTATACTTGAGCTATTTTTTAGGTGATCCAATAATGTAAGTATTTTTTTTCATTGTCAATATGTAAAAGTTAATTTGATAGTAAAACTTAATCCATACTAATAAGATTAGTGAAAATAACGAAAAAGGACTTGCATAAGACAAAAAATAAAAATCATGTCCAACCTGAACGTAAAGGACTTTTTGAGGTTGAAGGCCAGAATTGTGAAAGTAGAAATACTTATCACCTGCCCTAAAAGGAATTTCATACTTAGGAAAATCGAACAATTTCGTGAGTTTTTTCCTTAGCTTTTCTCTTGTCTCGCACATTTTGATCACTGAGTCAGTCAAAGTCACCTGCTTTTCAACGAAATCTTTTGTCTCCTCTGAGTCTGGATCCTCCAGCCTAAGACAACGTTCAAAACACAAAACATATTAAGAGCCTGTTTGGCTTAGCTGACGTAGAGTAGCTCATAAGCATTATGTGCTGAAAAACACTTTTAAGTGCTGAAACTAATTTAAAAAATAAACAGTTACGTGTTTGGATAAAAGTGCTGAAATTAATAATATGCAACTGAAGAACTGAGTATATGAAGAGTTTTGTTTTAAAAAGAAGTATTCAGGCATAGAATAGTAAATATTTTGGTCAAACTTAAAGTGCTTATAAGCTAAAATTTGATAAGCTGGAGGAGACCAACTTATGGCTTTTGGCTTATTTTTGGCTTATAAGCACTAAACTTGCTAGCATTTTTAATTTACCAAACGCGTAGATATGCCAAAAAGTGCTTATAAGCCAATTTGACTAGCTTATAAGCTTAGCCAAACACCCTCTAAATCAAAATGCAACCAAAAATGAACCCATAATTCCTTCAGTTAACGTTCTATAATATTGCTATGAAACCCGTCACTACATTAAATATTTTGATAAGCATTAATTAATTGATAATCCAGTAATAAAGATATAACCTGCTATCACAAGTTAAAATTTACTGATACTATAAAAAAAATGGTCTATTCATAATCTATATACTATTGGTGTATATAACTTAAATCCATATGAGAATTAAATAGAATGCCCAAGAGCAAGGTGAGAAGTTGTTGGAGGGAAGGATGCCGGGGGTCTATTTGGAAACAGACTCTCTACCCTAGGTTAGGGGTAAGGTCTGCCTACACACTACCCTCCCCAGACCCCACTAAGTGGGATTATACTGGGTTGTTGTTGTTGTTGTTGCCATTTAGAGCATGGACATATTGAGATAACTTAAGCTCTTTTCTCCAAAGTTATACTCCTATATTTGTCTGGACACAAAATTTAAGAATATACCCTTAGAACTTGTAACCGAAAGAGCACAGTTATCATTTCTTGTAAAAGCAGACTAAAAATAAAAGAGTATCACACAAAATGGACGTACCATCTATAAGGATCGGGAATGTTGACACCATGATAATTATCAAAGACAGATTCATCTCGGCGAGCTAAAGGGTATGTCCAGCTTGGCTCGTCGAGGGCCGGAAGCGAACCCATTCTTGACAGAAGAAGAAGAAGGACAACAACAACAACAACACTAACCAAAAATCTGTTGCTTAACGTGAATCAAAAGGCTGTTGTTTTGGAGTGTTTGACGTAGAAACAAGGTTGCTTATTTGACCAGTAAATATAAGATAGAATAAAAGACAAGCGTCACGTATTAATGGGAACCAGAGATGCATATTTTTGGAGTAGAGAGGAGAAAAAGGAAATGGCGTGAGTTGATGAACAAAATGAGAACACCATGGGGAAGATTTCGTAGTTTGAATGGTTTGTTTTGAGGCTTATAGCCGGTCTGGTGAAGCTGCAAAAATTAGCTTATTTTGAGAAGTGGTTTTTTTTAAAAGTGCTTTTTTCAGAAGTACGTTTGGTGAGAAGTAGTTTGTGTTTGGCTATTTAATTTGAAAAGCACTTCTGAGCAGCAATTAGTGTTTGGCCAAGCTTTAAAAAACTGATTCTAAGTGTATTTTTTTTCAAATCGTGCTTCTCAAAAAAGTGCTTTTGGAGAGAAGCTACTTTTTTCTGCTTCTCCAAAACTGTTTCTGCTTATATTCAAAAGCACTTTTTTTTCCTTCCAAAAGTTTGGCCAAACACCTCAAATTTTAATCAAAAGTGCTTTTGACAAAAAAAGTACTTTCGGCCAAAAAAAACTTTGGCCAAACAGGCTATTAAATATGTAAAATACGCGGCGAAAGTAATAAAGAAGTGTCGAAAAGTGTTGTCATTTTGTAAATTATGTCGCCATATATTTTGGGACACTCATGTTCACCAGAATCTTTCAATATCGTACGGAATTTTATATATCATGGAAAAAAACAAATGTCGGTTGAATTCTTTGAATGGTACTACTATATTTGTCTTAGCCAATTCTAATGAACGGTACATATAAGATTGTGATGAATGACAAACAATGGCGAAGTCAGGAATTTACTTAAGGGTGTTTAAATTTGAAAGAAGTGAAAAATATTCTCCGAGAAAGAGTGTTCAATATATGTAATACCTTTAAAATCTAATATTTTACCTATATATACAGTGTAATTTTTCGACGAAGGGTGATCAGTTGACCACCCTTTATAACATGTAGCTTCGCCCATGATGGCAAGTAATCTTGACGAGTCTCGAAGTTGAATATCGAGTATGAGTCACATTTGTTAGAAAGTCATATACCTCTAATATGAGATTTTCCAATGCAAATTTAAATTTAATCGGACCCTGATACCGTTATACGAATACCAAACACCGCGCTGGGAATCAAAAAACGAAAAAAAGAGAATCTGCGGATAAATTATTAAAATATAGAAAAGAATGTTTAGAATTATGTAGAAGTATTTTTGTAATTTTCTAACCAAATATTTGGAGACGTGAGTCGATTTTTTCTTTTAGAAGAATTAAGGAGACAATTGGAGAAAGGAGTCTTGTAGTGGATTCGAACATTTAAAAAAGATGGAATAGATCTCACAGATGAAATTTCTAACTCGGACGACTTAGACAACTTCATCCCACTAACAACAAATGACAAATCTCGTCTATACTCTCCCTAGAAAAACTTGTCATAGTCAAGGTTTTTGGTAAGACAGTGAGTTATCAATTATTAAAAACCAAACTTACTAACCTCTAGAAACCCACTGAGGATCTGCCCCTCATAGACCTGGGGTCAAATTTTTTTTCCTAATTAAATTTCATTACGAGGAAAATATATTCAAAGCTTTACACAAAGGACCTTGATTCATTTTAAATTATTTTCTTTCTGTCCGTTGTTGGGAGCCTAAATTCATTGCTGTTGTTGGGAGCCTAAATTCATTGCTTCAAGCGCACAACTAACTTATACTGCCCTATGGGTACGTCTTCTAGAACTTCCAACTGAATTTTATGACCTTGATATTGGGATAAAATAAATAATCCCGCACAGGAATAATATCCACAACAAATAATAATAACACAAGAGAGTAACAATGACACCAAATATTTTAGCGGGATAAAATACAATATCCGAGTGTAGCAATATTACCACTATAATATTACAACTCAGTAGTGTCAAGAGACTACTACAACTTTGAAAGAAATAACACTCTTTATATAAAACACCTCACTACAATATTACTACCACTCACTAGTTATCTCACAGACAACAATCTGTGGATTACTCTCTAACTTCTATTGTTTCTCTCTTATTTTGGTGTGTCTTAACTGAGAGAGAATCATCTTTATTTATAGGCAAATTTGCCAACCACTTAGCAACACAAATTTGACTTATTGCATTGCAAATTGAAATCTTCAGCCGCCCATATGCATTCAAGCAGCCTATTTTGTCCAATTTTTTTAATCTTCTTCTTTTGGTTGGTGAGGTGTGGACCTCACAAATCTCTCCCTTAATTTTGATTTTTCTTCTTCAGTAAGTCTTGTTCTCAATCTCTGAAAATCTTCAAACTTAAGAGGCTTTGTGAAGATATCTGCAACTTGATCATGAGACTTCACATATTTGAGCTCGACTTCCTTCTTCGCAATGCATTCTCTGATGAAGTGATACCTTGTATCTATATGCTTGCTTCGATCATGATACACTGGATTCTTTGCGAGTGCATGCGCTGATTTGTTATCAATACAAATCTCTGTAGCTTCCATTTGTGACAAATTGAGCTCCTTCAATAATCTCCTTAGCCAAATAGCATGACAGATACATGATGTTGCTGCTATATATTCGGCTTCACAAGTCGAGAGAGTAACAATGGACTGTTTCTTTGAACTCCAAGAAATAACAGAATCACCCAAGAAAAATACAAAACCAGTTGTACTTTTTCTATCATCAATATCTCCCGCATAATCACTATCACAAAATCCTATAAGACTGAAATCACTAGAAGAAGAATAAAATAGCTCAAAGTTAATTATACCTTTTAGGTAGCGAAGAATTCTTCTAGTGACCTTCAAGTGAGTAGAGGTAGGAGCCTCCATGAACCGGCTAACTACTCCAACTGCAAAGAGTATATCTGGCCTGGTACAAGTCAAGTACCTCAAACTTCCCACAAGACTTTTGAAGAATGTGGGATCCACTTTTTCTCCTTCATCAAACTTGGACAATTTTGTCCCACTTTTCATCGGTGTGTTCACGGGGTTGCAATCGAGCATGTTGAACTTCTTCAATATATCCTTTGTATAGCTTTCTTGAGAGATAAAAATTCCATCCTCCATCTGTTTCACTTCTAGGCCCAAGTAGTATGACATGAGCCCTACATCTGTCATCTCGAACTCACGGGACATATCTTTCTTGAAAGCTTCAAACAAACTTGGGTTATTACCCGTGAAAATAAGATCATCAACATAAAGACAAACAAGTAAGATATCTCCATTAGTATGAACTTTAAGGTAAAGAGCATATTCATGGAGACAACGAGTAAACCCATTGTCTTGAAAATACTTGTCGATGCAACTATTCCATGCTCGTGGGGCTTGCTTTAATCCATATAAAGCTTTCTTCAACCGCAACACTTTATCTTCATGGTTTTTGACCACGAAGCCCAATGGTTGTTCAACATAGACTTCTTCTTCAAGATAGCCATTCAAGAAGGCTGACTTGACATCTAGTTGATGAATCTTCCACTTCATTTGTGCCGCCAAAGAGATCAGCAAACGAATCGTCTCCATGCGGGCAACAGGTGCATAGACTTCTTCATAGTCAATGCCTTGCCTTTGCTTGTAGCCTTTAGCCACAAGTCGTGCCTTGTATTTCTCCACATCTCCATCAGCATTCTTCTTTATTTTGTATACCCATTTCACTCCAATTGCTCGATGACCCTTGGGAAGAGTTGTTAACTCCCAAGTGTTGTTCTTCTCTATTGACTTGATCTCCTCCTCCATGGCTTGTCTCCACCTTTTGTTTGTAACAGCTTCATCAAAGTTCATTGGTTCACTGTCAGCAAAGAGACAACATAAAAAATCAAAATTAGTAACTTCTTCAGTGTCATCATAGATCTCTTGAATGCTCCTTGTCCTTTGCGAATGTTCATTTGAACTTTCTTGAGAAGAGGGAGATGCAACATTTGTTAGAGAAGTAGGTGGAGTTGTGTCCTGCACAGGTTCCATGGTCTCCGGTTCTTCTTCATCACCAAAGTATGGANTTTGATTGATGGTATCTCATGCACCATGTTCTTTTCTCCCATTGATTTGAGCGTTTCAAAATTTAAGTGCCCAAATTGCATGTGCCAACACCATGATTCATATTGCACATTAGCCTTCAAACACTTTGTATCAATTGTTTTAAGATTCAGAGAAAACAATCTATTCTTTGCCATATGCACTTAGCAATTAGAATTCCACTTGAATCTCTAAGCCAAAGATGCATATTTTTCATGTAGATATCATATTCCTTTTTAAGAAGTTGGCCCAAACTTAAAATATTACTTTTTAATCTTGGCACATAATAAACATCTTGAATTAACTTGTGACTACCATCTTTACAGGAGATCAGAATCATACCTATCCCTTCGATTTGAACCTTTGAGGTATCTCCAAAGGACACATTACCTCTCACTGTTTTATTGATCTCCACAAACTTCTCTTTGCACCCACACATATGATTGCTTGCTCCATTGTCCAAATACCACGAGCTGCAATCATCTCTATCTTCTTCCTTGAGTGCCATCAACAACGTTGACTCATTTTCTTCTTTCTTGTCGTTAACAAGGTTAGCCTTTTATTCAACATTGCTACGACATTCCCAAGAGTAATGGCCAAATTTATGACCATTATAACATTCAATTTTTGATTTGTCATACCTTTGTCCATTATTTTCTTGGTAGTATCCACATCCTCTTCCTCCTCTTTGTCCACGACCACGACCTTTAAATGTTTGGTGGATTTTAACTTCATTGTTGAAGTTGTTACCATTACTTCTTCCTCTTCCATGACCTCCTCGACCTCGGCCTCGTCCTCATTCGTTTCCTCGATAGCTTGTTTCACCTCCATAATCCTTGAAGGATGCCTGAGTTTTAAGAAGTTGCTCCAATGGCACTTCTTGTCTCCTTTTGATCTTTTCTTCGTGGGCCTATAAAGAACCTTCCAATTGCTCTACCATCATAGAGTTTAAATCTTTAGACTCCTCAATAGTCACACACCATAAAATCAAATTTAGGTGTTAAAGTGCGAAGGATCTTTTCTACCACATGGACATCTTCTATGTCCTCCCTGTATCTCCTTAGTTGATTTACAACAGCCTTCACTTTTGAAAAATAATCCTAGATGCATTCAGATTCTTTCATTTTTAAAACTTCAAAATCAGCCCTTAGAGTTTGAAGTTTTACCTTTTTCACCTTGTCAACTCCTTGAAGAGAATTTTGTAAAATCT